CGGGGTGCCCAGCTTACGGTACACACCACGGCATCGGACGGTTTCGGAAGCGCAACCCATCTAGCAGAAGAAGATTCGAAATGCTTGGTTAACCAAAACAGCACATGTAGAAACCTTTCTGAAACTCAATCACTCAACGTCATACTTGTACTTGAAAACCCAGCAACCTCCACATTATGATTCAAACGCCAGATCTTCTCGACTCTCCCAGCGCAGCAAAGGAGCATCTGTGGTATCTGCGTTATAATTCCCATGATGGCAAAGCTCACGGTGCTGGCCGCAGACTTCTGGCAGCCTCGCCGACATTTGCTGAGAGTGTACCCCGGAGCTGCCCCTTCAATGCTCTGCAGGCCCTGCAGCATGACAGAACGCATGGTCCCTCCGACGAGGTTTAGTGTCCCGCCGCCGGCATTCTCACACGAAGGAGCACTCTGCCGCTTTGGGCAAAAATAGTCAACGGTAGCAGATAGTTATTCCTGAAGAATCCCTGTTGAAACATGCTGAAACGGAGGCTTTTGGCTGCGTTCTTTGTGTACGGTGTTCCTGAGCAAAAGCTAACAACCGCTTGCCCGCCATTATTTCTGATTTGCTGGGATGCCGGGCACCCACTTCTCGGGTGGGGGAGTACGTGCGCATCAGCAGCAATCAAAAGGTTCGCCGCCTTCGCACATCTCAGCGTCAGCATTGACCGTATCTCCAGTGGCCTGCGCGCAGATCGTGTAGACCACGGCCCAAAGGGAGAAGGTTCCAACAGAGCACCCCTCGCAGTTGTGTGAACATGTCCAGTCCATGTGTGCGAAGCCCACCTGACGTTGCCCTTCTACATGATGTTTAAACTGGGCCCCGGGATCTCGATTTCTGCGAGAGCTTGTACAATCCACACGCTCGCACGCACGCACGCAAAAGCGCACACCCGCCCGCCCGCTCCGCCCGCTTGCCAGCCAGGCCAATGCTTCATTCGCGTGACTGTTACACATCACTTAAACTCGAGGCTCCCAGGCTCCATCCACGCGCGCACAGGAACCTGGTGAATTGCTTTGGGAGCTATTAGTGGCTTCTGGCGAAAGGGCTTCCGAATCAGGCCGGTGTTTTTTCTAATTCCATATTGAATTTCAGCAGCAACCCGGTCTGCTCCACACATAGAAATTTACCCAACCTTGGCGAGGAGGTCTGCCAATCGCGAGTTGTGATAGACCTGCAAGCGAGTCTACGATTCATAGAGTCATAGTGGTTCTTATGAGGTGTTTCTGATCAGGACTTAAGACCTTTTGATTGGCTGCCTGCAAGGGCGCCCTGTGTCTATACTCCTCTTGCACCTGGGTCGGGAGCCTGGTTAGTACGCCAACCTAGCGACCGACAATCCTGCACCTGATGCAGGAACGTTGCTGCGATCCCACATTCGCAGAGTCAACAGGCTCAGCTTCCGGCTATGTTGCCAGCACAAGATTTGGTGTCCCCGAAGGCTACAACTCGTCGATAAACACCTGCCACCAATCTCCAGGCGGAATGCGAGGAAGTCAGAATGACAACCAACAGTTCAGAAAATGGGGTGGTATATGTGGCGTATTCCGTCCTCCACCTTGCCCTCCGCAGTAGTTAAGTGCGAACTTATGCCAGGAAACTGCAATTGTAGCCTGCATGTGTGCAACTCTCCCATGCCTTTGCGACGTTCTCAAAATGTGAGACCCTTTCTTTTTCGACTCAGACCTACGAGCGCTAAATACCACGATTTATTACTTCGCCGACTTTCCATGTCCACAGAATGGTGTCCACTGCAGGAAAGTAAGAATTAGGAGCCCTTGCGGCAGCAAGCCCAGAATAGGGTTGTTCCTACTGAGCATCCCTTTAAACAACAGTTGAGACTGATCAGGAATAACGCCGACACTGACGACCACCAGAAACAGTACTGAACTTCTTGCTATCTTGCTACTACTTGTAGCTGCTTCTTTACCTCTGGCTTGTCAATGCTACAATGACACCAGAAAGGTACAATGCACATCAGTATGGTGCCGAAACTCTTAGGCACATGGGCAAAACAATAAACCAAAACGGAGATGCTGGTGACGGCCAACATGGTAATGCAATGATGCTGATGATGTTGCTTGTTTCACCCTGAGCCAAAAATCTTTTGACCATGATGACGACCACCATCATCTTGCATGGATCTGAGTAATTACTCCTACTCCGCTGATGCTCAGAACCATCCCCTGAGCTCACGATGCCGAGAAGCCGGGGCTTACCTCTTCCATCATCGGCGCATTTTCGCCTTGTTGCGTCCCGTCTGGGGTTTAAAATTGGCTGAGGCGCAATGAGCAAGACCTGAGGACGAGCATTTGTCGCTTCAGCGCAGTTGGCGCAACTGCTCTCCCGGTCTCAACAGGGTTGCTGGGAATAGGCTGACAGCTGTTGTTGTTGTTGTTGTTGCTGCTGCTGCTGCTGCTGCTGCTGCTGCTGTTGTTGTTGTTGTTGTTGTTGTTATTGTTGTTGTTGGTGGTGTTGG